AAATGCAAAAGTAACGAAACCAAATGTCGTAAACTTCCTCCAATGCCTTCGTTCTCGTACCAGTCCGAAGAATCCGATCACCGAAGTCCTCTATACTCACGATAACTCCATCTTTGTTTCTTCTTACGTGTCCTACGCTCAAAACAAAAGGTGTTCAAACCCTAAAGACACAAACCTAATAGCCATTGTTGCTGCAAAACATGAATCTCATGTTCAAGCAACCGTGGTCTGCGCAAAGTCCAACGGAATCCAGATCCGAATCCGAAGCGGCGGTCACGACTACGAAGGTCTTTCTTACATCTCATCCGTGCCGTTTGTCATTCTCGACATGCACAATCTCCGGTCTATAACCGTTGACGTGTCCAAAAAGAAAGCTTGGGTTCAAGCTGGTGCGACAATGGGAGAGCTCTACACTGAAATCGCTAAAGCGAGCAAAACGCTAGCGTTTCCCGCTGGCGTTTGCGCTACGTTAGGAGCGGGAGGACACATCAGCGGCGGAGGATACGGAAATCTGATTAGAAAATACGGAAATTCGGTTGATCATGTAGTTGATGCTCAACTAGTTGATGTCAACGGAAAGATCTTGAACAGAGCCTCTATGGGAGAAGATCTGTTTTGGGCAATTCGAGGCGGTGGCGGTGCAAGCTTCGGTGTTATCCTCGCTTGGAAAATCAAACTTGTCTCGGTCCCTGAGATCTTGACAGTGTTTAAGGTTGACAAAAAATTAGAACAAGGAGCCATTGATGTTCTTTACAAGTGGCAGCTTGTCTCTAGCAAATTCCCTGAAAAGCTTTTCTTGCGAGCAAAGTCACTAGTCAGAAATGGAACCATCACGGTAAAGTTCTTCGCGCAGTTCTTAGGGCCAGCGGAGAAACTAATGGCGATTGTAAACAAGAAATTGCCTGAGTTATGGCTAAGACGTGAAGATTGCTATGAAATGAGCTGGCTTAATACGACGATATTTTGGATGGATCTTCCGAACAGAACACCGAGCGTTCTTCTGAAACAAACCTCGGGTCCGCCAGAAACATTCTACAAGAGCAAATCCGATTACGTCAAGAAACCGATCCCAAAAGAAGGAATCAAGAAGATTTGGAAAACAATGTTGAAGTTCAAGAGTGTGTATGTGCAATGGAACCCTTACGGTGGAGTGATGGACCGGATTCCGGCGAATGCCACCGCGTTTCCTCACCGGAAAGGAAACTTATTCAAGGTTCAGTACTTTGCGGTATGGGAAGATGCAAAAGCCACAGATGTTAACTTAGGTTTGATGAAAGAACTTTATGATGTTGCAGAGCCGTACGTGTCAAGTAATCCGAGAGAGGCGTTCTTGAATTACAGAGACATTGATGTTGGAAGCAATCCTAGTGGAGAGACAAATCTTGAAGAAGCTAAGATCTATGGATCGAAGTTTTTCTTGGGGAATCTAAAGAGATTGATGGATGTTAAAGCTAAATATGATCCTGATAATTTCTTCAGGTACGAGCAAAGTATTCCTCCTCTTCGCGCAATGTAATTTTGTAATAGGGGTTTTTTTATGTTAGATAAAATTATGTGAGAATATTAACCAAGAAATTAAAAATAAAAGTTATGTGATTCAATTATTTTGTGGAGCAAAAGCAAAAGCAACAATTGCAAACAATTTATGATCGACATTAGTTAATGAACAGACTAACTATCTGATGATGAAAGACATGATCGACATAGTAATGAGCAGATAGAATGTATCATATGACACATTATCATATGAGCAAGCTGAAAGAAGAATATGGTAAGCTGGATTTTATAAACAACCATCTTCCTTCTTTCCAAGTTATCTCTCTAGTTTCATCACATTTTTTTGTTCCAGCTGTAGGCATTGAACTATGGACCTTTACTCATAAGCTTGGGGATGCCATTCTTACCAGATATTGTTGGTGAGTGTCTACATTTGGTGAACGACTATCGGTTGTTTCCACAAAAATGATAACTTGCATGTATTTTTTCTTTTCTTGATTCTTGTTGTTTGGGGCCTTAACGGAAGGTATGGAAAAGTATAACTCAAAAATATCATTTGACAAATGATGGGCGCGAGCGTATTATAGGACATATTCAAAGCTTTGTGATATCCTCTCTAAGAGGACAGCAGTTCAACTCAAAGGTAGAGTGCATACATAGAAAGAGATTGAGGAGCGAAAGGCAATTCAAAACCGCAAAGAAATCGATTAGAAAAACCATGACAACTCTTTTGTGCAAGGTAAGGTCAATTATGTCTTTTATTTCTAGTTGTGATTTAGTTATTTTGTGAAGCTAAAGCAAAAGCAACAATTTCAAACAGTTACACAGATTATAAACAAAAAAAAGTGACATGTTTGTTCATCTTCGAGTAGATTCAAGTCTAAGATTTTTTTGTCTCTTAGTGCTATTTGACCTTAAACATTTGTTGAGCATTTTTTAATTAAAATAACGGTGACAAGTTCATGCAAAAGGACATTGTCTTCTCTATAAGATAGCTTTTATGTTTGTTCTTGCTTAATATGATTTCTTGTTTTATGAGTTCGTTTCAACAGCTAATCACTACAAGAAAACAGTCAATCTGTGACCATTGTTTGTGATTTTTATTTTGGTCACAGAAAATCTGCCACTCTTCTGTGACGCTTTTTTTGACATATTTGTGACTACGCAAAATATCGTGTCAACCTCGTCACAAAACGACGACGGACAAATATCGTTGTATATCCGTCGCAAATTAGCTAATCGTTAAGTCATTTATGTCAATTTCACAATTGACCTTAGTTTTGTGATCGATGGTTATATTCATTTGCTTTCAGATGGTTATATTCATTTGCTTTCAGCATTCTTCCCAATGATCGTCGTCATCTTGTTCTTCTTCCCTACCCAAAACTTCTACTTCCATATTCAAGTCCACATTTAAGTTTCCATTGCCTGCAAATTAAGTTACATGAAAAGTAACCAAGCTAAGCATCACATAATCCTTATATATCATGAGACCTAGGCTAAATTAACCCTTCTTAATATTTATGGCCCACTAATATAATTAAACTATGAGCATATCTTAACATGTAAAGCTCTTCAAATCTCAAAACAAGAAGATTATAGAAACTAACTCTGGCTCCTTCTAACTAACTAATGTGTTGTTTCATATGATCAAATCAATTACCAAATGAAGTCAAACTGACCTGAAACAATAGCCTTTTCTTCCCATTCAAAATCTTCTTCATCTTGCTCTTCACGTTTGGACTTCATACCAACCTAACGATCTGAGGATGATGTAGAAGCCGACTGAATGTCTTGAGGGGTTAATTCGCCTTCGGGTTCTTGCTGATTCAGCCTTTCAGCTAGCTCTTGCTGCTTCAGTCGAACGGCGGCGGCGTAAGCTCTGAGATACTCGTCCTGAAGGATATTGAAAATACTAATTAAAAATTCTACTATGTGAATCTAAATAGACACAAAGAATTTGTCCCCAAAAGCATGCCTTCAAATACTCATCATTTCCATTTCCCATGGCTGATTTATCGTCCACTGAAAGGTTTTCTACTTCTCATGAGCCACCACCATCATCAACCTTTGCTTCATGTCTAATCAGTCCTCTTTGTTCATCGGTCAAATTCATTCCTTCCGTGATCATCCATTGAGGCATGACTTTCCGACTAGAATCTCCACCTTCATGTTTGACATGTTCTGTTCCGTCACCAAGGTTAACCTCAATTGACATGTTCTGTTCCGTCACCAAGGTTAACCTCAACCTAACCACATGTAAAGATTTAAGGAATCAACTTACCACAATGAAAGAGGACATAATGACAATTGTAAACTAATGATCACCTCTGTTTCTCCGAAAAATGGCATCGGTGTTGAACTAGACCAGCATTGATTCGGGTTAAGATCACGAATTTCACGAGCAGCCTTAGCTGCACGAGCTTCCCATTCAGGAAAAGATTCCAACTTAGGAACCGGTAGGTCTTTTACTCTATTTATTTGATTCATCAGAGGTTTCGTTTGAACCTGGAAATATTTTCGATTGTGTCAAACGCACAAACTACAGTAAAACCTCCATAAATTAGTAAACACGAGCCGCTTAAACAGTATATACTAACCTCAAAATTCTGAAGCAAATCTTTCTTTTTCCCCCGCTGCGTTCTCTTTGCATTGTCACCTCTATCTACTACTTCTTCGGAAGTTAGCTTGTTAGATTCCACAACAAGTTCACCATTGCAATATTCACAATGAAAAGAGTCGTCTTCCATAGAAACTAATCTCAGAGCTTCTCAGTGCACTATATCTATATATCATAAATGAGAATCTATTCAGGTTTATTGAACATAATAATACAACTCATAATTACAAAGATTTTATAGACCTTACTTCCTTTTGCAGTTAGGACAAACATATTCCTGAACAGTATCCTTTTCTTCTAGTTCATCTTTGAGCTTTTTTCTCATCAAGTAAAGTTTCAATCGAACAATATCATATATCTGTAAGGGAGAAGAAGTGCTTATATAGATGCAAAACATCAAACTTAAAAGAAAAGAAAAAAAGTATTAGGGACATGAAGCATACCTGTGAATAATCGAGACAACAATACTAGTGCGGGCGGAACTTCTCTGCTTGGCCATTAGTTGTAGCAGCCACTGTCTTTGGCTTTGCACGTTTTACAGTCTATTGAAAAGATTGAGAATCAATATTACAACCTAACCATTTTACTCTCTCACACTCATTTCTTCAATCAATGTTATACTCTAGATATTTTGATGACAATATGCTATTTATCATATATAAGACTCGAAGAGTGCTTGAGTTAGAAAAGATTCACAAGAACAATATCAAGATCATAAACCATAGTTTCTGCACAAACCTCTTTCTTTTGGTAACGCGTGACCAATTTTTCTTCTTCAAAGTGTCTTATTATTTTCCGAATCTGCGTAGCGCCCAAATTCAAATCCATCGCCAAATCTTCTTCACTAACCCATTGACGTCTTAGTAAGACAAAGAGCAAAAGAAATCACATAAATGAAAGTCAGTGAAAACATAAATAACACATTTTGGTGGATAGAAATTGAAGAGATGCATACAACAAACCTTGTAAGCGCGTTGAGCACCACAACAGCAATTCCTCTGTTGTCATTTGTTGCAGATTTCTTCTGATTATTGCTTTTTGATATGTAATCATCATAGAAACTCATAGCTATAAGCCTCACCAGCCTTAAAAACCAATGCAAAGCAACATAGTAAAACAATTGAGATAAAGGCACTTTTTGAACATACGGATGTGTATGATTTGTATAGAGATTTACTCGATAAATGGCTTGACCACAACGGTTGTTTGCACCGGAACTGATATCTCCATGGAATTAAACAAACCATACACTTAACAGCTTACCAGTTGAGGAACCAGTATTAGGTTTGTGTTTGATACAAACTCTGCATAATTTGATACAGAAGATTACATTTTTGCATAGAGAATAAGGAAAATCAAGAACTTAGAGGAAACCACAATTTCAAAGAAAAATCATAGGGTTTAAATTCAATCAAGCCGGTACTTAGGGTTTGAAAACCGTGCACACAAGAAAATTAGGGTTTTCCGCAAATCGAAGCAACACTTTGAATCTTAGGTTAATCAAATCTCTTTACTCTGAGAACACAAGAGTGAAATCGACCAACAACACAAATCGCAGAGCGAGGTGCCGAGGATGAGGAACAAGAAGAAGACTTCTGTTTTGTTTAGCTTTTGTCCGAAGGTCAAAGGTGTTAAATAGACATTTGACATATGAACGGGTCGGCCCAATATTATTAGTGGCCCAATAAGAAAACAATTACTTCCTCCCTATTATATAAAATAATTTTTTTAAAAACTTTTTATGTCTCAAATTAAATAATATTTTAAGTTTTCAACGTAAAATTAATTATGTTTTTATTATTTTTGACTGTTTAAATTCTG